ACCCCCGAGCGGCCCCCCGGGGCCGGGCCCAGCCGGTGCAACCCCCTTCCACCCTGTCCCACTGCCCAGCGCCTCCCAGAGCGGGGTCACCCGCGGAGCCGTGTTCATCTGCTCCTCTAATTTGTGGGTATCACAACCCACGGGGGCCAGGGGAAAGAGCCCTGGGGCAGCACCGCGGCTGGGCAGGCCCAAGGAGCAAAGGACCCCCAAAGCAGGGACGGAGGAGCAGTGCTGCAGCCCCCCCTGAACCCTCCAGGGCAGGTCACCGGCACCGGCACTGCGGCCTCACCGTGCGGGGATGGCACTGATCGGCTTCTTGTAGATCGTGATGAGCTTGTCGAGGACAACCAGGGCGGTGGTGAAGACACGATACGAATGCAGGAACGTGTTCAGAAAGTCAATGCTCAGGAACCGCAGGTCCGTCAGCCTCTCCAGGAGCCGTTCCACACTTGCATAGCGGATCTGCAGGACCTTGCAGGAATTCATCGTTTTACTGAACCTAATGTCAACATCATCACAATACAAGCTGGCATCAGACCTGCAGAGAAACAAGATATCTGTGGTTCCAGTCTGGAACGAAACCAAGAGCTGCTTCGCGCGAGCAGCTTCCCCCCGCACCCCCGAGATGTGCCGGGACCTCAGGACGTGGCGCGGGTCCCCAGCAGCGAAGGAGCCTCATCTGTTCATAAAACGCAGGTGGGAACACTGCCGAGGGAAAGCGAGGGAATCCACAGCCCGAAGAGGTGGGAAGGTTGCACGGAGCTCAGCTGGCAGTGCTGTGGCCCACGGCAGGGGCTGGGCAGGACCCGGGGCATGCTCTGAGCTCTCCCCTTCAACCTGCTCCCCTCCCTGAGCACAGTCCCGCACCAATCTCCACCCCCAGCTGACCAGGGCTCCTCACCGAGGTGCTGGGGACCAGCAGCCCCTTGGGAGCACTCACTTGATCATCTGGGGGACGGTGACCTTGGAGTTCTCCTCGAAGGCGTTCATCATGAGGCCATTGCAGCGGATGTTGTCCACGCACTGCAAGAGATACGGTGGGAATTGCATCCCCCTTCGGGGGGAAGCGTCACCTAGAGCTGCTCGGGCTGTGCCGGCAGACACAGAAGCATGGTGACAGCTGCCAGATCCCCCCTCACCCTGCATCGCCGTAATTATCCCCCCAGCCTGCACCTCTGCACGCTCTTGGAGGAAGATGCAGCAGAGCAGCACCAGTCCCGTCACCGCCAGCTGGGATTTGCTGGGCAGGAATATGGGCTGGAGACCCCCCAACAGGCAGGACATCCCCGTGGGGAGCAGCACCAGGAGCTGCCACCATCCTGCGTGGGGCTGGGCCCCAGTGCCTGCCACGGTGTCGTACCGCAGACGTGGCCAGGAGGCAACCCCTGTTGAACCAGTAACTTCCCTTCCTCCTACCCAGAAGAAAATATCTTTGAATTTATTTGCATAAAGCAAACGAAGAGCAGGTGTAAACTGCACCACGTGGCTGAGTCAGAGGAGAAATCCAAACCACATATCTACAGGTGCAGGTCAGGACGTGCTGCATCACCTTCCTCCTCCACCTCCTCTTCTTCCAGCTCCCAAACACCAGAAAGCTTTTGGGCTGGCCGGGCTCTGGGTACAGCCCGGCTCTGGAGTCACCCTCTGCACGGAGCTGCCCTCCCCGGGTGCCCCAGGCTTGGTGCTGTCACAGCAGCACAATGCGGCAAGACCTCAGCCCACAGCAGGTCCCTGGCACCCCACAGCGAACCCCAAAGATTAACTCTAGGCACCCCAGAGCCGCTGGTGGGAGCAGCGGAGCAGGGACCCTGTGGGGGCTGCTCATCCCCTGCGCCCCAACCCCCACCCCCACCACACCCGCCCTACCTGGCTGATGTCGCTGGTCCACGCCGCCTTCTCCTGCCTGGATGAGGCCACAAGGATAACCGTAAAAGATGAGGAATCTTTGGGCTCCACCACGATTTTGAAGTCGAGGTGGTCGATGTCTTGCCCTGGTGTTTTTGCTTCGGGACAGAAAAAACAGACACGGCGACTGTGAAAAGATTTCCCCGGCCCCTCTCCCTCAGCAGAGGTTTTGGTCAGGTTTTAAGGAGTCTGTTGCGGTTTGTGGGTTGTCTGTGGTGAGGCTGGCAGGGGTTTGCTGGGCAAGGGATCTGTGTTCACCAAGTGAAGGGCACAGGCCACGAGCGCTGCGTGCCAGGGAGAACGCGGCTCCTTGGTGCCTGTTAGAAAACCCATCACGAGGACAAGAGAGAAGAGCTCCTGCTTCTTCCCAAGCCTGCAGCTAAGTGAGCACAGCCCAGGACAGCCAGCGTCTTTGCCTTTTTCCACCTGCCGGCACGGAGCTGCGACACTCACCGCCTGCCTCAGGAAGGTCACGTCTAAACGTGCATCGGTTTGCTTCATGGTAAATAATTTACTTAATGAAATCCAGTCAGTAGATCACGACTTCCTTGAACCTATTCAGCACTGGAACTGGCTCCAGCCCTGGCACGGGTGGTTTTACCCCACAGCCGCAGCAGGGAAGCTGAGCAGGGTCCTGGGGGTGCCCCGAGGGGAGCCCACCTGGCTTGGGCACCTACCGTCCTCGTCGGTGCTCTCCTGCTCCTCCACCAGCGTGCAGTCGATGAGGGAGATCACGCCGTTCTGCAGGGGCAGGAGAGGGGCTCAGTGGCAGGGTCCCCCCCGCCAA